AGACTGAGAACAGTGTGAATTCCCATTGAGTTATGCTTCCAGTAGGTTTCTACTAGATGTACTGGTGAGCAGCACTGTTAATAGCTAAGGATGGTTGAACTCCCCAACACTTGATCCAAGGCAGGTGGCCATGCTTAATGCTTGGGGCTGGCTATCCAGTAAGCAAGTACCTCATAGTTTCAGGCCACCACACACTGTAATGGTTTGACTAACCTGAGGGTGATAAATAATCAGCTATGTGACTTACGCCCTGACTTTCATGGGGGCCTTTGGTTCAGATCACTGTGGGTAGAAGTGGGCTTTCCCTCCTCTTTGGATCATTTTCTCATTCATATCAAAGTATCTCGTGGCATTTCCATGTCTTGCCTTGTCCCAAAGTCATGCCAGAGTGCCCCAGTGGGGCTGGGGGGCTGGCTAGGGAGGGGTGCTGGGATGAGCTCATACTGGTTTGGAGGCTATTACTGGGAATCTTCTTGGATGTAGCTGCTTTCAGGGCCTGGCACTGCACTAAGCCATGTAACCAACCCTGCAATATTTCCTTGATGGCATAAAGCCCGGAAGAACATCCCCAGCCTCCCTGCTGCTGTCCTGGACCAGTTGTCATCCTTGAAAGACATGGCAGAGGACATGAGAAGCACAAAGGAGAAGGTTAGTGGGTGGCATACTGTCTCGGGAGCTAAGAGGGTAGGGCTGAGACAGGTCTGATTATGTAGTCTGTGAAGCTGGGAGGTTGGCATTGGTGAGGCTGTCTTTGTGGTCAAGACTCTGGCATGAGTCTTGGAAAGCAGGAATTTGATTCCAGGCTCTTAACAGATTCTCTTGGGTGAGTCACTTCATTCCTTCAATGACATTACCTTTTGTCTGGTCTCCTTAAACTAGAAGCTGTTTAAGGCAGAAACTCATACTATATATCTTCTAAATGCCTACCACAATGGTTTTGTGTGCTCAGCTGGCTTCTAGGCACCATCTGAATAGAAACAACAATAACGAACAGTCTGAAGGGAGAAAAGCCCTAGTAAAGAAGGGCAGAAGGGTGATATTGGCTTGTGTCTCCCAACCCCTGGGAAAGAGAGGCCTATGCTCTTCAGAAGCCCCAGTCAAATCCACCTGTGCTGCAGTGCTTGCCAAGGGTCCTTTTCTACTGCTGAGAGATACTGAATTGTCCTGCCTTTTGTGTTCAGCTTTGAAGGGAGAAGATGGCTGGGGCAGGGGCAGGAGCATACGTAGCTTTCTAGCTACAAATATATGAATTGAAGGTCCGATCTTCTGGACACTTGCTTTAAAATGAGTGTGTTTTATGTTAAGCCATTAAGCTCACCTTGGTCCTTAACACCTGGAGGTCAGTTCTGGTGCAAATCTTTTGAAATGAGTGGAGTAGCAGCTACTTGTACAAGGATGGCTTTTGGCTCTGGGTATTTTTGATGGGTAGTTAAACCCAGCATCACCAGAGGGTGGGTGTCTGCCCACTGGGCAGAGGTCCATGCAAGCAGACCTATGGCCTGGAGTCCTGACTCTTGACAGCTGTCGTGGTTCTAGATAATCAATCTTCAGAATGTCTTGGAAGGAGCGGAGGTTGCAGGAGCAGGCCAGAGCGCGGAGGAATCCGGTCAGATTAACCTGCAAGTAGCTAAACTCAGGTAAAAGGAAATGACAGCCAGAGACATGTTTCCTTGCCCATTTTCTCCTGCGTAATGGGCTTCACTAGCAGGCCCTGCTGCCCAGGATCTAACAATGGGACTGAGGCCTGGACTCTGATATACATGTAGAGCCCCAGAGGATGCACCATTTTCTGCTGTGCAGTTGATAACTAATCAACTGCAAGCTGCAGTAACTAGTTGTCACCCATGTGGTTCATACAAGGCAGTGCCTGCACTGATCTAGGACTGAACTCCTGTTAACTGGTCCTAGCCCAAATGGCCCATGAAGACCAAGACTGCTGCCCAGTTGCATACCCCATAATCAGTGGTCCATGTCCTAGGGGCTTATGCTGAGCTGAACTGCCTAGCATTAAAGATCGGATGTCCAGGGCTAACCCATGCTGACTGGCATATATCTCCCTTGTGTAAATGAGTGAGCTTCACCCACCTTCCACCCAGAGGCCTGGTACTTCGTGGAATTGTCCTGTATTTGGTGACCCACATGCATTCGTTGCTGTCCCTGGGTTAATATACTGTCACGAGCAGTCGTGGGTCCCTCTGGGACTGAACAGAGACCTGGACTGTAGTAAATCTGCCTGGGGCTTACTTTAAAACTGGGCCATGGTAGCCATCGTAACTGAAGGACCCTGGGCCTGGCTCTGGGTTTGACTAGGTTTTATACAAAGTAAGATGTGCCAGGATGACCTCTGTAGCTAATGTAGCACACCTAGGGGAAGGATACTGGTCAGAGCAAGGAGGCATATTATTAAGAGTCTGTAAGAGGGTGCCAGCACCACAGAGTTGGGGAGGGGGATCACCAAAACAGGGCAGGTAGGGAGAATTTTGTCAGCTAGAAATGGAAGATACACCTGGCGTGGGAGTGGGTTTTGCTAGGCAAGTCGGTCTTTAAAGGTGGAGTTAACTGTTATGTGGTGGGCTGGGGTCTTCCTGGGAGACTTCTGGGAGGTGTCTGGCCACTACAAGACCTCACTCCTTGCCCAGAGCACAGGGGCCTGTCCAGCCAGGCTCTTTCCAGGCACCCAGAGCTGGCTCTGCATACCCATCCCCAAGAAGCTGGAACAAACCATAGGAATAACTGCATCCCCTGAACTGACCTGAAGTTGGCATGTGATATGTGGGTATCTAACCCACAGAAGTATCTTCAAGCCACTATAGCAGGGAGGCAAATTCTGCCCTGAAGTGAAAGGGTGGGGACTTTGGGAGAGTTGCACCCAAGCTGCATTTGGTCCTGAGAAGGGTTCATGCCTTCCTGTGCTGTGTACCACTCCCTGTCCCTTGCTGCTACCAGCCCCACAAGCAGCCTCTTGGCTCAGCGAGTGATCCTTTGTGGTGTTGGCTCTGTGGTCCAGATCGACGGTGAAGAACATAGAGAAGGAGCTGCAGAAGCTGAGAGAGAAGCAGGATCAGGGCAAAGCCAAACTGGAGCAGTCGGTGACTGACACAGCCATCTGTCTCCAGGACCAGGTCAGGCAAGAGCCAGGGCCACTCGCTGGGTTCCCATTAAACCCCCACTCCTTGGAGCTGTCTGAATGGCGTTTCTGGGCATCGGTCCCCTTGTGACTCCTCTGAGTTGTTGCTGCTGCCCTTTGTTATACAGTTATTTAGGGCATCAGAGTCCTTGCAGGGGTTTTCTACAAGGTTTCACCTCTTGAAGCCAGTGTCCTAACTGGGGCATGGCTACCTGGAGCTGGCCTCCCTGACTGCTGTTCCCAGCTGTGATCCTGCTGGGGAAGGACAAGAAGAGGGTGGACTCAGAAAAAACGCTTCCTCTGGACCCTTAGGTTCACAGGGGAAGCATGGAGGAGGTGACAACACTCCCTTATCCCATGGGAGACTGCAGATCACAGCCTCCCAAATACCGCAGGGTCGGCTGTGGGCAGAGCTGTAGGGTTTGAGTGCATGTGGGGTAGATAAACAGCCTTGTGCCACCAAGGTGTTCCCCTACTGAGGCCAGTCTGGCTTCTGCAATGCTTCTAGAGCTCTGTTCTGTGCTGAGCGGCTCGAAGAAGGGATCCTAGTAACAGCTCCTCCAGTGTAACAACCCTGAGGCAAGCAGCTGTGACCCGCACCCCTGGTCTTTAAGGATGCTTGCTCCCTCTCCTATGCTCAAACCAAGATAGACCGTGGCAGGGTCACTCCAGGGATGTCCATCCTGTGGCCATCCCTCAAGACCTCCGTCTGCCATTCTTAAGACCATGCTTGAGAGCAGCAATGGGGGACACCCTCAGAACAGCTTCCCTGCAATATTTTTGGGTTTGGCTTGAATGAGCAGGAGTAAATGGGCAGGAGTCTCCCTGCCAGACCATGCCAGGGACACAGCGTAAATGTACCCTGAGGGGAGCGCTGCTTCAGCTGTTCCTGACTGGAAGAGTTAGACCAGACAGTAAAGGCCAAGAATGGCTGAGACACATCTATGGGTAACATAGGCTGCCTGAGGTGTTGCTTCTGGGCACTGGGGATTTTACCAATGGGTTGTTTTTGTGGCACCATATGGGTCAGGCAAAAGCAGACACAGTCCTTCCCTGGCACTGGTTGGCAGTGCCTGGACATTAGAGAGTGCTGACAAACCCACCTTCTTCTCTCCCCTGCCTACAGTTAGACAAGCTTAGGTCTGTGATAGAGGGCATGATGGCTTCCTCCTCCACCTTGCTTTCCATGAGCATGCCCGCTGGCCCGGAGACCACCGAGCCAGCACTGCATGCTTCATGCCCAGCCTGCAGCATAGATGTCAGCGAGCAGGTTAGCCATCTGTTCAAACGCTATGAACAGCTCCAGGACTTAATTAACAGCTTCATGAAGCGGCGCACACAGGGCAAGGCATCCAAGAGGCCGCAGCTGAAGAGCCAGGTAAGGCCTGCGGAGGGAAATGCTGGGAGTTATTATACAGGCTTTCAGGAGGGAGCTGGAACCACCAGTCTGTACTGGGTGAAGCCAAAGAGTGCGAGAAAACCACTGCGGCAGGGATCTGAGCAGCAGGATATGCAGATAGCTGTTGGGAATAGCTGAACCCTGAGGAGGAGGCAATAGGTGGGAGTCATGGTGGTGACCAGCTCTGCCCCTCTGCACCACACAGGAGGCTTGATGGGCTGCCCTGTAGGGTTTCTGGATCCTTGTCTGGCCTTGAGTCACTCCTGCTGGGTGGCCCTTTGGATGGACGCCCTGATCCTGGGTTCAGAGGTTACAAATCAGAGTGAGTCCGGTGCTTTGTGGCCTGGGTGGAGCCGTTGCTGTGTTCAGTGACCCTGGTCAGCACTGCCCAAGGTACCAGAGCTGTGTAGATCAGGTACTGGTAGGGTCGGCTGAAGAGAAGTGCTGGAAGCCAGGATAGGTGCATTGGCAGAGCCATGCATGGGGATCTTGAAGTATGCTGCATGTCCTGATCAGCAGAGCTATATCTGTGGGGCAGCTGCCTGTTTCCTGTTGGGCACAGGCTCCAGGAGCTTTGGGAGAACCAAAGTGGCACTCTGTTGGTCCAAGCTCAGGGTCTGTGAAGTGTTTAAGGAGAAGAAAGAGCATAACAGAGTTGGAAAGGACCTCAAGGGTCCTCCTGTCCAATTCCCTGCCTTAATGCAGGATGCCCTGTCCCTAAGCTGTCCCAGAGATCTGCCTGTCCAGCCTCTTCTGAGAAACCGCCAGGGGTGGAGATTCCCCAGCAAGGAGCTGGGGATCAGAGTAGGTTTGCCAATTTGATTTCAGTGCAGTCATGGGGTTTCCATTTCTTCCTGTCCTTGATCAGTAGCCCAAGCCTCTCTGCATTCCCACCCCATGCTTGCATACACTGCTCGGTTTTCTGTGAGATCTACAAGCCATGGCAATGGGAACTCCCACTCCTTCTCCTTGCAATCAGGCACACGCATTACACAGGGAATAACCTGCCTCTGGCTTGATGCTATTCTGATCAGCATTTGGGTGTAACAGAGTTGGAAAAAAACGCTAAGGCATAACCCAAAAGGGAATGGGGCTCCACTCACCTGTATTGCCAATGAACAAGGAACGTGGGACTAGGGAGGAAAAAGAGGCTAACAGTGCTTCCCTGAGTGTCAGTGGCACTGTTGTATTTCTATCCATCTAGTGTTTGGGATAACATAGCGGCCTAATGATCTTTGGACCTTAGCATCCTTACAGTGCAGCGCTATGTGGAGCTGATGCAAGACTAAGACATACTCTCATTGATGTAATCTAAACTACATATGGGGCCGAGAGCCAGAAGTCTTAAATTCTGTCCTTAATTGTTCTGTCCATTATCTTCCCTTTGCCTCCGTTTCTGACTCTCTGTATGAATCCACTAGGGGAGACTATGAGGTTGGACTGTGGTATATTCTGAAGACGCTTTAGAGATGAAAAGGACACCTGAGGTAGTGGTTGGGATTCAGTAACTGTTGTCTAGATTCCCCAAATGGCAGGTAACCTTTTTTTATAATCTAGGATGGATTATCCAGCGCCTTTCTACTCCCTGGGGTGGGAGGAGGTGGGGCCGTAAGGTGCAAGAATGATTTCCAGGGCTAACTGTTCAGCTGCAGCCTCTGGTTTAGCCTCAGAGGAGTCAGTTGGATCTGTAAAATGGGTTCATTTTGTACAAGCAGATCTGAAAGAAGGGTAAGCAGAGGTACTATCCCTGACTGCTGGTTTTGTATGTATAGAGTGGGTACCTGATAAAACAACAATCGGCCTTGGGAAGTTTGCAGATTTTCCTCCCAGAGTAGGAGAATTCCCGATGGGTTCTGACTTGAGCCAGTTCCAGTACAATGTCTGGGAGCTAGCACAGACCTCCAGACTGAAGATGCCCTTTCCTCAGATGACATTGCGGCCAGCTTTTGCCTGGTTTGTGTCCAGCAGGAGACGGTGGATCGTGAACACCTCATACAGCATTTTGCTTGAGGGGAACTGGAGACTGGTTGGGTGTGGAGCATGGGGCATGTCACCTCCTGGTCATCAATTTGAATTGAGTAGCTGCAGCTGAAAGTCTTTGCCAGTGGATAACATGTGAGTGACTGACCGGGCAGTCTGAGTGAAGCATTTTGTAGGTCCTAAGCCCTATCTCAACATGGGCACAGAGGGCAAATTCATGGCAGTCTCAGTAGTGAGGGCAGTGACTACCTGGACCAGGGGAGACTGAATGGTTGTATGTAAGTGATGGTGGAAGATTCTGATGAGGCATCACCCCTGTTGCCCAGGCTGTGTCCACTCTCTGGGCCTGGGTACCTGGCAGCACTTCCCTGATTATTGGGCCTTGTTTTCATTTTCCTTTCTGTCTTTGAACCAGGATGAGGAGCTGCTGAATCGCATCCAAAGCACCATCATCAATGTGCAGGAAGACTGCGAGAAGCTCAACACTATCACAGGGAACCTCATCGAAGAGCATCGCCAGAAGCAGAAAGACATTGATGTGAGTGGCAGGCCTGCCCAGAGGAGCAGATATCAGCATGGTCTGTTAAATGTGATGAGTTTCAGCCATGCACACGTAGAAGTTAGGCTGTTCTTAGTGTTGCTCATTCTCATGATTCACCCTCATCAGCAAGCAATGGGGCAGTGAATGCCCCTGAGAGCAAAGAGATCCCAAGACAGGAAGAAAGTGTAGTCATGGAATATGCCTAAGCTTCACCCTTCTCATCCCCACCCCTGACTTGCTAGATTTAATGGGGGTTTAAGATCTCTGAATCCTAGATGCCTTCAGGTGGTAACAGGGAGTTTGTGCAGTTGCTGGGAGGTGACAGTGAATGACTGTGCAGTAGGTTTTCATCCCCTGTTCTCCTCTGTACCTTACAGGTTCTGTTCCAGTCTCTGGAGAGACTGGAAAAGGAGAAAGCAGACAAGGAGCATCTGGAGATGGAAATCGACGTGGTAAGGAGAGGCACATGCATTGGGTTAGATGGAGATGGCTACCATCTGTGCCTTCTGGCATAGTCTCAGGCAGGCAGAGTGGGATTCCAGGCTCCCCCAGGGGTGGGAGGCTGATCCCTAGCTTCAGACCAAAGATCTTGGATCTACTGCTTCACCATGGGCAGGTCTCTTGAGATCTTTGAGCACAGGTTTAAATGGAGCTAATGACACTTGCCAGCCCCTGTAAGCTGTTCAGAGATCAGCTGAAGGAAGCACTAGATAAAGGCTGAGATGTTATTATGTAGGATGTATATGATGCTGTGCATCCTCTCAGTGCAACATGAACTACTGAGACACATGCGTGCATTCTCCCTACATGTGTGTGTGTGTGTTTAAAAATAAGTCATGAACTGTACTGTGTGGAAGTTGGAATTGCCAATTCCAGCCTCTGATTTTGGTCCCTTGGGTGGTCTGGGTCCAAGTGAACCACCATGAATTTTCATGGACAGAGCAGCCACTGTTCTAACAGCGTTTAAGCCAAAGGAGACTCTAGTGTAGAGTTGTCCTTGAGGTAATCATGGGTAAGTTAGAGGGGTGAGGAGCTGCCCAGGTTTACAAACTCTTCTGAAAAACTAGAACTGCATCTGCTTCAGTGAGGAAGCTCCCAATAAGGGGAAAGGGGTGAAGGATGATAGCTAGGATGAAGGGTAGAGCCATTGCTTGGAGCACCCAAGTCCTGACTGTAGGAGGGGGAGGTGTCTCCTCGGTAGGGAGTAGGGAGGCAAAGTTTTGTTATGGTTCCACATCAGACTGTGGAACAAAAATGCACATTTTTTTCGAGCCCTGGATCCATCTGAAGATCTTCCTCTTCCTTCCCTTTCATTTTTCTGCCTTGCCAGAAAGCTGACAAGATCTCCCTGGCTAGCAAAGTCAGCCGCAGCCAGTTTGATGCCACCCTGGAGCAGCTCAACAAAATGATCCAGGATCTGCTGAATAAGATGACAGGGCATGAACAGGACTGGCACAAAGTGCTTGACAAGCTCGTGGTGGAGATGGACTCCAAGGTAAGATGGAGTCATTCACAGTGTCATAGCCCCAGTCAGTATGTCAGCCCTGGGTAGTCAATGGTCAGGGCCTTGCCTGGTTTATAAGAGGGGGAGACTGGGAGCTTGTTCCTTTTTAAGACACAGTAAATCTGCTAGAGCCACTGAGGTTTTATAGATATCTTTACACAGGGCCTGGTTCCCTGGTTTATATTGTCAGACCACTGCAATGAGGCCCTGACAACAATCAGGTTGTCAGTACTTATTTTTAGCCCTTTCTTCCTCTCCTTTCTGTCATGGAGCCAGTCCTGAGTCCAGGAACAAAGCAGCTTGGCTCATAGATGCCATAAGAGAACAGGCTTTCAGGCCTCACATTGTAGGCAGGATCTGGTGAACCCATCTTTCAGGCTGCTGCTAGTCTCAGGGAGGGAGAAGAGATTCTCTGGGGTGTTTACCTTATAAACCAGGAGCCTTCAGGACTGGAATGCTTTGCTTTGAGAATTGCCTCATGTTAAGCTGAACTTTCTCACCCTCTTCAGTCCCTCTTCCAACTTGTCATGGCCTTGTGCTTCCCAAATCTGTCCACCATCTTCCCCCATGCCCAGCTGTGCCCCAAGAAGCCTCATGGCCTCCCTCATTGGTTGTGTCACAACACAGCCATTCCTCGTCTGCATGGCACAGGGCACTTTGGTATAATAGCACCCAGGCTGGCTCACTTCTACTGGGTGGGAGACTAGAGGTGGTGTAACAGCATTACCAAAGTGCCCTGTGCCATGAGTTTTGAGGGTATTTATACTATGTCCTCACTGCTCTTGGGGAAGGGTGCACTTAAGTACATCCCACCCACCTCTGGAAATGCAGCAAAGCTGCTCTGAAGGCATCATCTGTAGCTATTCTCATGCATGTTGGAAAACAAGAGGTGCTGCAGGGGGATGCCTCCAGAGTATCCTTCACCACTGTGTTCCTGGTTTGAAGTGAGCAAGTGTCTGGGTATCTCTGCCATGGCACTGCTTTGCCAGGGGGATATGCCCATAGTGGCGTGGTGCCCTACTGTTGTTTCACCACTTGAAAATGAGCTGCATCATTCATGTGGTCTGTAAACCATAGGGAGGAGAGATGGAAAGGCCTCATTTGGTCCATCAGATCCAAGGCTGTTCCTGCCAGCACATTTCTTGACACTTCATCTCCTTTTTTCAAATGGCCTATGGGAGGTGGGATGGAGTTATCCACCACTTGCCTTGAAACCTTTCCAGACTTGAGTATCTCCGCTAATGGTGAGATCTGACCCTTTAGGATGTCCTTTGGGTGGATGCCTGGGTTCGTCCTCTGAGTCCTGGTTCTGCCACCCCATGTCACTGATCAGGACTTCTTAGTTCCATCAAACTCTTGTTGACCGTGATCCTGTCTTATGGTTATCTCATGTTTCAAGCATAGGGCTCTGTGCAATAACCAAGGGGCTCCATCTGGATTGTAGCAACCAGATCTTTATTTAAAGATAAAGCCATGTTGTACATTGTGTGCTCAGAGCAGTTGAGCAGTCCTCAAGCCCATGGAGCTTCCTTCTGGTATCACCCTCCAAATTGCCCCTCCTACAACTCCTGTTCCCACCTGCAGGTTCCCTGCAGGTTGTTACACCTCGTATCCCATCAGTCACTGAGAAGCCATGATATGTGTGACATGGGCATGGCTCTGAAGAATGGTGCCTTGCCTTGCAGCTGGACCGCCTGGAGTTAGACCCATTCCGGGAGCAGCTTGAGGAGCGGTGGAAGGCCATCCGGAAGCAGCTGAAGGAGAAGTCTCCACAGTATGAAGCAGATGAAGCAGCTGGGATCAGGAAGTAAGTTGCACCTCTGGCTTCCTGGCAGCACTTTTGAACAAGGGGCTGGTGTTTCTGATGTACTGGGATCACCTCAAGCTGTGTCTGCACTGCAGGCCTGCCCTGAGTAGCTTTAACCTAACCAGTCGTGTACAGTGGCACAGACATCACTGCGGTCTGAAAACCTGTGAAAATATGTAGGGTCCTGAATGGGCACTGGACCTGCTTTGTCTGGGGCTTCCCTGCTCATAGTACCAGGGCCAACTAGAGTAACAACAGTTTTGTGCAGACACATACTTCTAAGGTGATTGCAGCCATAGTCAAGGATATCATCCTTGTGGTTGAAGCATGCCAAAATCTTCCCAGTTTGACTACCATTTTAATTAAGCATTAGAAGGCCCTAGGGCAGATGCCTTAGACCAGAAGAGCTATTTCCATATGTGAAGGAGAATAACTAGACCGGTAATGGGCACCATTTTGCTAGTATGCCTGCCTCTTGATACAGCTCCAACTCTATTAATTCAAAAGAACCCATAATCCTAAGGAAAATCATTATACTGATCCATCCTAAGGAAAATCGTTATACTTTGCAGAGGAGCTCTGAGGTTCTTGTGCTTTGTCCTAATCCCACTGCAATGCATTTGAATTAATGGTATCTTTGCCTAATGGCAATCCTGCTTCTCAGGATCAGTTGCAGCCGGAGGCTGTACTGCAAAAGCATGTGGCTGGATTCATCAAGGGATACCAAGATTTTCAAAGCTACTGGAAAGATTCAAAGTAAGCAGGCTTCCGAAGCCCCTAGGCAAGCCTGGGAGAGCTCACCCTGAGGATTTAAGAATTAAAATGGAGGAGCTGATCATCTGTAAAATCTGCTGCTTCACATGTCATATGGAAGGCAACAAGAGGCTGTGGTGATGGGCTGGAATGCAGGATCCTCAGGGTACACAGTGCTCCTAAGTGCAGCACCAAGAATCACAGGTCTGTCTAGCCCTTCCTGCTGGGTATTCACAAGACCTGGAAATCAGGCTCTGAAGCCACCATGAGGAGCCCCCCACTGAAGGGTCAAGCTGGAGGGAGAGGCAGAGGCTGCCCCAAGGGTGTTCTCATGTCTTGAGTACCCAGGTTGGACACGTGGGCATAAGCAAGGGGGAAAGACCTAGCCTAAGATGAAGATGACAGATAGCTGCCACTTAAGGGAGAGGGGGTGGCATTGGTATTCATGGTTTCTGTTCCCAGCTTTGCATTTGCAGCGTCTTCCATGGAAGCCTTGCATTACCCTGCTCCCATGTCTCAGTTTACACATGCAAGTGTTATTTGAAAGACTCCCTTGGGGTCACTGCTCAAGCTGTGCCTCAAGTACTGTGAGCTCCAGAGATGACAGAGGTGCCAATGAAATATTCCCATTGTAAGGTGTTTTTCCAGCACCTTGAATTGCCACCGGTTGTGAACCGTTACCCATTCATTGTCACCAGAGGGCACCAGTGCCCTGCCTGTAAGTACATGGGCCCTGTACAAGCTGCCTAAAGCAATGCGAACTGTCAGTTCCTGCATAGTCCTGTTAGATGCAGAGCCAGATGACAGTCACCACCTTGTGTGGCCCACACGTTCTGAGAGATGCAGATAAGATCTGACAGCCGCCGTCCTCTTCCCAGGCCCACACACACGTGCATAGACACACACCCACACTCCCACGGGCTGCCTGTTGTTTTCTGTCCATTGAAGTCAACACATGACGGGTTAGAAAATAAAAGCAAATGGACTCAGATGACACGAGGCAAGCTGCCCTTGGGCATCGGGAGGGGTGTGTGTGTGTGTGTGACTAATTTCAGTTCTGCCCCTAGGGTTGTCTTGAAATTATGGGCGAGTTCAGAGCTGCCAGGCAGTCCCTGCCAGATGCATCACACTTTCCCATCAGTTCAGGGCAGGTATTCCATCATGCCAATTGCTGACTCATGATCATGACCCTGTCCTTGCTCAGTGAATGCCGGGATTGATAAGGACGGGCACCGTTCTGTGGCTTGGGGTTCTTGGTTCCCTGCTATCTGAAGGTTGTAAATCTGAGTCCTGCTTCTGGGCCATCTTGCCTGCACCCCCAAGCCTTAATGGAGATGCAGAGGGTATAAAACCTCTTTGTTTCATAGGGAATGCCAGGTTATGATGCACACTTATGCAATATTTTCAGGGGGGTGTTTAATGCTGATGAAACTGCAGCCTTGGTATAACGTGTATAAGCCCCTGTATGTGACAGGTATGCATGTGTGTGCCATATTGTTCCAACTATAAGTCACACCCCCCCCTTTTTATTACTACCTCAAAAAGAGCCATAAAAACTGCTCTCAACTTATACACAGAGTTGACCTATAATTGGGCTCGTGACACCAAGGCAATAATCACATCAGAACCTTCACAGACGCATTGAACATATGAGCACAGACTATTGCCATATTTGGGGAAACAAAAGTTTTTCTTGAATCTGGAAATGTGGTGCTGACTTACACACAGGGTTGTCCTGTCATCAGAGCAGTACAATATATTTCATACTCGTGTGCATGTGGGGCTGTGGAAGAAAGAGGGGGGCAAAATTATTTAGTAGAGATTACCAGAACAAGGGGTATGTATGTGATGCATTTGTTGTGCTGGCAGTGTTGGCTCATGGTTAATGCTGGGGTCAAGACTCCTGGGCCTGCCACTGATCTGCTGTGTGATCGTAGGCAAGTCACTTTCCTTCTCACTGTCTCGGTGTTCACAGCTATGAAAG